GACAGAGTGGTCAGGGAAGGCTTCTGGAGGAGGTGGCTTTGTGTTGAGTCTTGCAGAAAGAGAAGGATTTCGGGATGCACAGAGGAGGGAGAGGTGTGGGCTCTGTCACCACCAGAGCTTGAAGTGCATAAAGGGACAGGATAGAACACTGGTGTGGAAAACACGATCTAATCACGGTTATCACCCCTAAAATAGCATCCGCGTCGGTTGTGACCAAACTGGGCCTCGCTCTCCTCATCTGCAACCCAGGGAGAACGACCCTGTTCCTCCCTGGATTCACAATACGCCCTGGAAATAAATGAGTCACGTGGTCTAAAACCAAAGCATTAGCCAGGGCTTCAGAGACATCTTTGCCGCCTGAAAGGCTTGGGTTCAAATCCCACGTCTGCACCTTCTTGGCTGTGCAACTCTTGGTGAGCCTCTATGTACTCATCTGTAAAGTGGGGATAACAAGCTCTACCTGGAAGGAGTGACACACGTGACGTATTTAAAGAAGAGGCTCAGCACCAGCCTGGTACCCGGGAGCCCCCACCCGCCTCCGAAGGGGCCCTCACTTACATAAGAGGCCGGGAGGACCGTCGGGGCCAGGACGAGAGCCAGGTAGAGGCAGGGGGCTGCGGCGAGCAGGCTGGAGGCACAGATGAGGGGCTCAGCCCTCGGGTTGACTTTCTTGTACCTCCTCGCAGCCTCGGCCCCCAGCAGGACTCCAACGATGCCAGTCCCGACTGTCAGTGCCCCAAAAATCAAGCTGATGAGAAGAGCAGAGAGGGTTGGTCAGCAGGGGGGGGGCAGAATGGGGCCCGCCATGCTTCCTCTACCTGCCCCGGCCTAGCACCCGGCCCATGTTCGTAATCTGCCACTACAGGGACGGTGGCTGTGGGTCCCTGACCCCGCATTGCCCCCTCCTCCCTCTGACCAACACTTCTGAGTCCTCAGGACCCTGATCAGGGCCCCTGCATGCCCCTGCCCTCCCTCACCCTTTTCTGGGCTGATTCTGAAGATGCACCTGGCCAAGTGGGTGGTCCACCAGCACCTCAGCACCCCAGTCCCAGCCTGCCTCATCTCCAGGCACCTTCTCTACCCACTCACCACCCAACACTGCCACACTCAGAAATCTGAGTTCCAGGGTCCCATCTGGCCCCCACCTTCTCCCCTGGCCCCCAGTACTAAGAGGAGGTCCAAGCCTGGGGGCACAGGCAGCAGTGCTCCACTCTGCAGGGCTGGAAGCCCGTGCCCGACAGGCCACACCCCAGATCGACCTGAGACGCCAGGCAGGGGCACCCACGACCCTGACTGGCTGGAGGGTTGGAGGAAGGGAGCTGTGTGATGACACCCTGTAGAGACACTCTCTCTCTCTCGGTAAAATAAACTTTAAACAAATTCCAGGGACCAGCAGTTGGCGTAGTGGCTGTGTCATTGGACTCCCATGTAGTCAATCGCAGTTTGGGTCCCAGACCTGGTGGCTTAAACTCACGCCGGGCACGTGTGCATGCGTGCCCAAGATCCCAAGAGGAGAATGGAGGAGAAGAGATTGTGGCATGGCCATCCCCCCTGGGGGGCGATTTCTCGTTTTCTATCTCTCTGTCTCTGTCTTTCTAGTGAGCACACGCACTCTATAGCAAAAACCTCTCAAAAAAATGTTTTTTTTCAAGAGGGGGTTGGCACGTGGCATGGTGATTGGGGTGCTGGACTCCTACATGGCTGACTCAGTTTGAATTCAACCTGCTGGCTTGCTGTCTCACTTTCTCTTTCTCTTTCTCTCTGTCTCTCTCTCTAGTCAAATTAAATAAAAATATATTAAATAATTTATAAAGAATTATTCATTTCATTTTATTTATTATTACTCTTTTTCATTTGACCAGAGAGAGACAGAGAAAGGGAAAGTGAGAAAGCAAGCCGCTGCCAGATCTGGGACTCGAACCACGGTTGGCCTTGTGGAAGTCCTACACCTTAACCACCATGCCACCTGCCGGCCCCAATAAAATAATTCTTTTTTAAAAAATTACTAAGAGGAATGGAGGCAAGTGAGTATTTTTGTGTTGCACTCCTACGACATAGCCGGCTCCTGTCTGGGTACCCTATACCCATCCCTTCTTTGAGTTCCATCCTTCACTTCCGTCTTCACACACCCCTCGAGCAGCCCGCTCTTGACTTTATTACCTTTCTCACCTACTCCTGGACACAGTCCACTTCCATCTGGCTCCTCCTTGCACATCGCTCCTGTGGAGACCTGTTTCTCCAGAACAACTTCCACGCGACCCCCAGAGAGCACTTTCTAGAGCACAGATATAACCAGGACTCTGCCCACTCTCTGCCTAAAATTCTCCACCAGTTCTTTTTTCTTTTTTCTTTTTCTAATTCTTTTTATTGGGTTTTTGGAAAAGTTATGACCTTTTTTTTTTTTTTAGAGGTTTTTGCTATAGGGCACATGCGCTCGCCAGAAAGACAGAGAGAGACAGAGAGACAGAAAGTGAGAAATCACCCCCCAGGGGGGATGGTCACGCCGCAGTCCCTTCTCTTCCATTCTCCTCTCGGGATCTTGGGCACGCACGCACATGCGCCCAGCGTGAGTTTAAACCGCCAGGTCCAGGACTCGAACCACGGTCGGCCACATGGGAGTTCAGAGACATAGCCATTACGCTAACTGCTGGTCCCATGACGTATTATTTTTTCCATGAAAAAATGCATCATAACTTTTCCAACAACCCAATAGCTTCACTCATAGGAGAGACAGAGATGGAGAGAGAGGAGAAAGCAGTCCTCAGTGGGTGTAGTCACACTGCAAGGCCTACTCTTCCACGTCTCCAGCCTACCAACATAGATGCATGTGCTTCCGACATGTTTTTCAAGCCACTGGGGCCAGGATTTGGACAAGGTGGTCAGCCATGTGAGATCCGGCTCTCTTAACCAGCAGGCCAAGGGGCCAGCCCAGGACTTGCTGTCTTGTAAAGGTGGTAAGTGAAAACTTAATTCCTTCATGGTATCTCAGGGTGGGGTCTTTGGCATGATAGTCATTGGGGTGGGATCCCCCATGATTCTGTCCTGGTGTTTTTAAGAAGAGGAAGTGGGGGCCTGCAGCTGGCATAGCAGTTACGTCGCTGGATTCCCACATGCCCAACCATGGTTCGAGTCCTTTACTGGTGGCTTGAAAAAATCACACCGGGCATGTGTGCATGCATGCCCAAGATCCTGGGAGGACCTTGGGATTATGGCCAACCCCTGGAAGGTGATTTCTCACTTTCCATCTCACTGTCTCTGTCTCTCTCTCCAGTGAGCACACACACACACCCCCAAGACAAAAGCCTCTTAAGAAAAAAAGAAAGGGCCGTTATCGTAATGGCTATGTTGCTGAACTCCCATGTAGCCAACGACGGTTCGTGTCCTGGACCCGGTGGCTTAAACTCACGCCGGGCGTGTGTGCGTGCGTGCCCAAGATCCTGAGAGGAGAATGGAGGAGAAGGAATTGAGTTATGGCCATCCCCCCTGGGGGGTGATTTCTCGCTTTCTGTCTCTCTGTCTCTCTCTGTCTGGCGAGCGCATGTGCCCTGTAGCAAAAACCTCTCCAAAAAAAAAGAAAAAGAGAAAGAAAGGAAATGAGGCAGGCAGAGGCCACACAGACGCAGACTGAAACAAACAGT